ACTAAAACAATCGTAAGTGAAGTATCATGAGGAGCAGCTTAAGGTAGAATTTACAAGGCATTATATAACTAAAAAAATTCAAATACTCCTACTTCTCACTAATGAAAACTACAATTAAACCAATGAAAACTGCAATTAAAAAAAAGACATAACGTTACACTTGCCAGTTCACCATTCTACTAAGTTTCCTAGAAGTATTGGGGGGGTGGAAACCACTGATTTGATATACACATTCCAACAAACTGAAAAACGTAGTGCTACACTGCTACTACAGAGAGGCACATTTGTGAAGAATTTATGTGGAAACAAAACAGAAAAACAAAGCAACAAGAATTTCTATTTTAAAATAACATTAGTCTCCAATATAGAGTATCTAAATTAATGTATGAAATCTCGTCCACTTTACTGTTAAATAATGCACAGCTAAGGTCAGACAACTGAAACTGTTCTTGTCAGCATGTAAGTGTTATTTAAATAATGACATATTTTAGTTAAATATTCAGAAGTATTCAAATAATTCTTAATGTCAAGATTCAGACTGCAGTTGCTATTGACTAGACAGATATTAATATAATACCTCCAACTACTATGTTCACCATTTCCTGCACAATACTTTCTACAATTTCTTGCGCCTTCTCTTCACACTCATTGCTTTCATCATCATATGTTCCTCCATCAGCTTTAGAAAGATCTTTAAAAAGAAAAACAAACCCCAAAAAATATTAATGAGAAACTCAGAAATTAAGGAGATGTTTTACTTGCATTTAATATTTAAAGATTGAATTACAAATCTATTAATAGGTGAGTATACGTTAAAAAAGCTGTGTCTGGATGCTCTGAGAATAGAATTTGCAAAACATAAGCATTCCAGTGTTTAAACTGTAAAGGGTAAATAATCCACAGGCCCATGCCAAAAAAAGACATCAGTTTTGTATTTTCACATACATTAAACACTGAAAACTTACTGGTTTTGAGATGTTATTCTCAAAAACTTTCCCAATATTACATATGTGCAAAGAGGAATCTTTGCCACAGTGATGACAAGAGCGTAGGACTAAAGGATACTCGTGATAAAGTTTAAAAGTGAAGGACAACAGGCGTTTTGCATTAGTCAGCTATTTGAAAACATGTGCCTGCCTCCAGATTTGGGAGAGGGACAAAAGACAATCCTCAAGCCTTTCTTTTTACAGACCTTTCCCCTCCCTCCATGAAACAGAAATACACACTGATTACTTTCTGCTGCTGTGGCTTGGTCAGCTTCTGTCTGTTCATTTTCAGCACTAGAAATATCAGATCCATTTTCTGTCTCTATATCTTCTTGAAGGTTCTTGTCCAGATCATTTGTGCTATGGTCAAGCTCTCTCTCATGTTCTTTGGACAGCTGATCAGTCTGTGTTGGAATATGTCTCAACTGAGGTGACTCAGGCTCATGATGGCTTACTGGAGACTGCTGTAGATGGTGTTGCTGTCTGTGTCTTTCCTTTTCCATCTGTTTGGCTTCCTGAAGCTACAAAAACATTGCAATCACACAAGAATTTCACTATCAAAACAAAAGGATGAGCTGTATACATATTGTATACATGATTTTATAAGCAGTACACATTATTTCATAAGCACAAAATCTCTATTGTCTCTGCTTACACAGTGCCTTCATAAAGCTGTAACATTTTAAGAAAATACATCCTTTGTAGTATTATAAATAATTTTAAAATCAGGGGATAAATCTTTCTAAGAGGGCTGCTTCCCAACTACGCACATCACACTTAACTATACCTTGAATGTGGAAAAGGGATGACTAATCTACACATAGTATAGGATCAAGAGTTGTCTGCCTGCCCTGTAAGGGAGTTCAGCCAGTGGATGTGACAATAGACAAGGACCGCATGGATAAACATCAAGACAGATCCTTCTCTTTTTTGAAAGCTCTCACAAAGAGAAATACATTGGAGAACTTACGAGTCTTCTGTTAGCCTACAAACATGCAGTATTAAGGGAAAGACTTAACGAAAAAAAAAAATTGGAAAGTGACTAAACATCCAGGGGGGAAAAAAAACAACCAAAAGCGGGAGTTAAAACTGAAAAAGAACAGCACTTCCAAATACTACAGAAGATAGATCCTCAGGAAGAAATCATCATACTTAAAACTGTAAGACAAAGACTATTTTAGTTTTGTGGTTCCTTGATCTGGTATCCCCAGAAAGGGAACAATTTCTGTAACTTCTGTAATGGGTTAAGACAACAGTCACTAAGATCAAAGCAAAGCAGGGTGTCCTTTGAGGTGATGCTCTAAGGACTGGCTTTCTCTCCCTGCAGAGCCTAGTGTTTACCAAAAGTTTTGTTAACTTTTTTTACTGTTATTTTGGCTACTATGATCTCAGCCCTTTACTCTTCCACTTAAAGCTTCCTCTGCTGTGTCTTTTGGGGTGCTATAGATCCCCAAGTAGATACTACCTTTCAAATTACAGCTCAAATAATTCCTTCCAGCATTGGTCAGCTATCATACTAACACAACTGCCCTGAGTGTGCGAAACAAGCAGAACTGTTTATCAACTTGCATAAAGACTAGACTTATAGTCTAGCAAAAATGAAGACTTCCATTGTAGAAGAAGAATAATAATCCTCCTCTATATTAAGTTGCTTAGAAGGACAGCAACTGCAGATTTCTCAAAGCACTCAGGTACTGCATGACTTCTGCCATGACTTACCATAAATATGAGGTCTCATAAATCTTTGATTGTGATGGTACCACATACCAATATGCCATTGCTTCTGAGAGGAAAGTAAGTACGTACTACATATTCTTAGAGTTCGTAATAATACAGCTGAATTACTTCTAGAAGTAGCTAGGAATTCAATCAGTTCTCAAATCTGGGTATCTGCTTTTTCATTTGTTTGGGGTTTGGGTGGGTTGATTTGTTTGTTGGGTTGTTTTTTTGATAGGGATTAGGACAATTACTTTGCCTTACTGATCTTCAGTATCAGCAGTAGAAGGCATAGGGCATATGCTGGGGTCCCTGTTGACAACTCACAACAGTAATTTCAGTGACATATAGGCCTACTTCTTCAGTGTTTATCATCACAACAACATTGGAGCATTTCACTAACACTAATGTACTCCATACGCACTCTTATGTGGGTAGCGTGGCATCTTTTGACAGTCTGACAACAGGAAACTGAAGCTGAATATATCCATTAAATACAGAGGACCACTATGAGAAGTTTAAATCTTCTACACCACCCCCACCCCACAAAAACACACTTCACACCTATTTCAGAATGCAAAACACAAAAAGAACAATGTAAGATACCAGAATCTTTTTTTTTTTTTAAAGTACATAAGTTAGGAAAGCAAAAAAGCTTTAATAATAATGACAAAAGAAATCTCTCAAGCTGGTTTGCTTTTAAGAGCTAGTTTCTACGTAAAGATACTGAAATACTCACTGCTTGATTTTCCATACGTGCAAAGATGACATTCAGCATTTGTGTTAGAGTGGCCTTGGCTGTGGTTTGATTTATAAGATTTTTGCTTGCTAGATAGATATTGTAACATGTTCTTACAGCCTGTAGCACTGTTCCTTCGTGGATTTCTATGTGTTGAGATGTTACTGCAGTGAGCAAAGCCTAAATAAACAAACATATACACACATAAATATATATATGTATATATTTTCCTGTCAAAACTCTTCTTGTCAATCAAATGAGTTGCAAATGAGTAACTATCAAAACTGGATTAATTTAAAATATAACTAAGCACGTATTTTGAACTGCAGTTTAATTAAGTTTTTCCATGTACTCTTGTAGCCATATCAGAACATCATACATACCAGTTACATTAAATTCAGAGTGGTTTTAATCAACATACCTAGGAAATACATGTTTCATAGCATATAACAGCAAGAAGTAACCAATGGAGTATCAAACAGGTAGTTAATAAAAGTCATCCTAGAATATTGTAGTCACAAAACATGAACAACAGACTACCTGTTAAAATCTTGAAAGCAATCCAAAGGGTCCAAAAGTTGTTTTACAAATAAATGTAAATGTGAAGAATAAAGACTGAGCATGAGATTAGGCCGTTATAAGTGGGACAACTACCCTTTCTAAACACTCTCTTTAGGTAGATGCTAGAATATTTTGTTGCCCTCTCTGTAGAAATGCACTTCTTTCTTTCCATTCAAGCTAGTATATGTATCTCTTTTTTTTTACCAAAAAATATGGAAATAATGTCTAAAAGATCAGGTAACACTTAAGTAAGGAACACATTATTGTTATGTGAGGTAGAGGCAGGCTGGATTAAAGAGCAAAAACAGAGACAGATGAAAGCCAAGGACAGGGTGTGAAGACATGGTCAGAGGTGCCTCTTGGAGAGTGGAAGAAGGGGAAGAGCTTGGTCCACAACAGGATAAACATGTTTATACTGATCATTGTACTCCAGCAGAAGAAAGCAGGGGCTTTTACACATTAAATACTTTGACAAGAGTTAATGATTTAATGGGATGTTTAGGGTAAGAAAGAAAGAACAGGAAGTGCTGGAAAGCTCCTACTTTTCTAAGTTTATCACAGTTAAAAACAAAAGTTATTTTAAGGGTTGGGTAATTTACTCGTCAAACCATGCCTCATTTCTCTTACTGACACTGTCAGCCCCTCTGTCCACACACGGCACCAACAAGTGGCCAAAGCGTACCCATTGCTCACTCAAACCCTTTAAAAATCCCTGTACAGCTTACCAGGAAAAAGAAAACCAAAGACTTGCCTCACTGAGCTGCTGCTGAAGAGACCTCAATTCTAGTCCTAGGCAAGCAGTCTGCCTAAGGTCCCTTCTTACTCTGCCCGTGGTGCCTCAGTTCTCTTATCAGTGGACATAGCGAGGTACATATATAAATGACTGTACTTACATACCTTACTGGAGACTATACATTCTGATCTACACTTCACGCTACAATCTACAAAGTAGTACTGTCTAAATGCCCACTAGCAGTCTTTTTTATCAGAAATCAAAAGAAAAAAAAAAAATTCAAAAAACACCCAACCAACCGAAGAAATTACAGAGGTAGGCAGACCACAGACAATGGCTTTGTTAAAGGAACTTAAGTCTCCAAGCACTGGTACTGTTCTTTTTTAACTCCCAAAATTCAGTTTACATGTCACTGGCCTTTTAAAAACTAAGAGGTGCAAAGTTGAAATTCATACCACCAACCTTAATTTTTACCCTCTCTGTGAAACAATCCAATACCTCCAACAGAACTTATCAATACCCTGCTTCTGCTAATGGAAACATCATTCAGGGAAGAGGACATTATTAAAGCTGTAGCAAAATCCAGTGCCTTATCTGGATGGAGATCTGTGGCGAGTGGTGTTCCTCATGGGTCCATACTGGGACCAGTACCGTTTAGTATCTTCATCAGCAACATGGCCAGTGGGATCAAATGCACCCTCAGCAAGT